GTCAATGGGCAGGTCATCATGGGTGGAGAGATTCGTTAGTATGTGGTGGCAAGTCCTTGGCTCAGAGCCTCGTGTCCCTAGGGGTCCTTCCTGCCCCAGGGCAGCGACGCCAGCCTGCGTTCCATCTCTTCCTGCTCTCTCGGGCCCAAGAGACCAGTTTCCTCCCTTCATCCACCGAGCTCGCTCTCTTGGATCTTCCTATTCCTAAGCATGCTGTAGGGTTTCTCATCTCTAGATGTCTCCCTGATGTTTTATTCCCTACCAGCTATCACTCCATTTCTCTGCTCCCTTTAATAGTAAAACTTCTCTTTTTTTAAAGAATAGTTTATTGATTTTTAGAGAGAGAGGAAGAGAGAGAAACATCAATGAACTGTGTCCTGCATGCCTCCTCCTGGGGATGTGCCCTGACCTGGAATTGAACCAGCGACCTTTAGGTGCATGGGACCACATCCAATCAACTGAGCCACACCAGCCAGGGCTAATGGTAAAACTCCTTAGAAGAGTTGTTTATGCTCAGCTGCATTTACTTTGTCACCTCCTGAGTCTGTTCTCTCCCACCAGGCTTACTTCTCCACCCCACTGAGATGCCTGGTCAAAGTGGCCCATGATGACCATCAGCACCAAACTCAGTCGGCATGGTGCGTTCTCATTGTCCTCTGCCTCAAGCAGCCTTTGGCTCCTAGTCCTGTCTCCTTGGGAAACACTTTCTTTCCTTGGCCTGCAGGACACTAGATCCTTCCCATTTTCTTTCTACGGCGAGGGCTGTTCTTTCTGGGTCTTCTCTTCCCCAACCTCTGACCGTTGGTGTCCTCAGTCTCTGTTCTCAACCCATTTCTTCTTCACACTCACTCCCTGGAACAGAAGTTCTCATTTTTTCACTCTTGGGCCTGCTTTATACTCTTAAAATTGTTGAGATACCCAGAGAGCTTTTGTTTGTAAGAGTTATAGCTGTCAATATTTATATGTTAGGAATGAAAACTTAGAAATCTGAAATAACATTTAATTTTAATTCATTTAAAAAATCATACCCATTACATGTTAACATAAATAACATTTTTTTCCCTGTAAAAAATGTATTTTCCAACCCCCAACCCCAGTTAGTGAGAAGATTAAGATCGTTTTACCATTTTTCAAATCTCATCGTCTAGCTTAACAGAAACCTACTGGTCTCTCATATGTGCCTCTGTGTTCAGTCTGTTGTGATGCGCTGTGTTGGTGGGAGCCCATGAAGAAAGCCTGGTCTTAAACAGACGTGTTGGTGGAAAAGGGAGCAGCATTTTAATATCCTTTTTTATATAACTTTGGATAACCTTTTTTGATTCTACACCAAAACTTGACAAATGGTAGTTTCTTAAAGACTGGTTAGCTGTATTGTGGAATCTGAAATGATATCAGTGAACTTTTTGCACCTTGTTACGTGAAAACGCATTGGTCTACCTTGGACTCTGGATGGGTCTTTTACTCATGCATGATTTTATATATCACACACTGATCATGTAGAAAAATATTGGTTCACTGATTATGCCAAGGATATGCCAAATGTTGATACATTTTATGACACAATATTAAAAAATCACATTTGTTGCCTGCACCACATGTCTCATTAGGAGAGTATTTGAGTATTAGGAAGCTGCCAAGGTCGTAGTAGAAGACACAAGTTTTCCAAAATTCACATTTTTCTTTGAAAGCTCAATGTTATGATGAGCAGTCAATGCTATTATTTGTTTTCCTTGAAGTGACAAGTTCATTTTATTCATTTTGGATAAAATATCTGCAATGTATCCAAGACTGAGGAACCAGAGTGTACTTCCCAGTCTTTTTCAAGAAAAATTGTGTTCCATGAAAAACAGCCTAATTCTGCTCTCAATTCAATCATGCAAGTGCTTTACCTGGAGACAACCATCATGTTTTGTTACACAGCAAAAGTGACTCATGCATCTTCTCGTTTCATCAGATGCAATGGTTCAAACACCATGTGCTTCCTTTAATGGAATGCATGCTTTTTTTCCTGTTTCATAGGCAACATTTTAGAAGGGAGACCCTCCCCCCCTCGTGTTAAACCAGGAGTGTGTGCAGGTGAAGACACGTGACCCCTAACACAGTTTCATGCTGCCACATTGATTCGTGCTCAGATGTCAGCAGTTTTACCCACCACTGCTTTGGCACCATTGGTACAATGGCTACCCAGTGCACAAGGCAAATGCTGTCTTAGTATTGTTGTGAAAATAGTTTTTACCTTGTGGACCTCCTTAGAGACCCCTAAGGGGTCCATGAACCACACCTGGAAAATCGCTCATGTAGATGATATCCCCCCAATCAGCCTCAGCCAACTTCAAAAGGCCAACTCTCTGGCTAATTATTTGTTTTCCGAAGTATAATTAGATGACAGCTAATCATCGGCAATTATATCACATTTAATTTTTGAAAAATGGATTTAATAAGGTTATTAAGCCCATTCGTGTTTAGTACGCACATGTCTTTTTTTTTAAACAGAATTAGGTTAGCAAATCTTAGCGGCAAATCCCTTCTCTCCAATTTTCTGTGTTTAATGCCCCAAGTGGCGTGGTTTCCAGTTATTCACTGCTTTTCAAAATCATTCTCTCGTAGAACATCTGTTGGGTCAGAGACCATGGATAACCTTTAACTGTCAGATTCTAGGACACCTCTCACTGAAGCTGTGTGTTTAAATGTCCTCGAACAGCATTCATGTGCCACTTGTAACGATGGCTTTGTCTATTTCCTTCTAAGCATGTGCTATGTTTCGGGCCCCAAATAGCAAAGTTAATCCAGAGGTGGAGGGAGCAGCATGTGCTCTAGACAATTCCATCAAGCTGCACCCACTATGTGGGCTCACTAACCTCACTCTAATCTCTCCAGCTGGACGTGGTAACTTTGGTAATTGCTTTCGGTTGTTTGGCTTTCATAACTTCTTAAGGGTAACACCAGCTCCTTCCTTCCTTCCTTCCTTCCTTCCTTCCTTCCTTCCTTCCTTCCTTCCTTCCTTCCTTCCTTCCTTCCTTCCTCTCTCCCTCCCTCCCTCCCTCCCTCCCTCTCTTCCTTCCTCCCTCCCTCCCTCCCTCCCTCCCTCCCTCCCTCCCTTCCTTCCTTCCTTCCTTCCTTCCTTCCTTCCTTCCTTCCTTCCTCCTTTCTTTCTTAATCTCTGAATGTTGTCCTGTTTCTCCTCCCAGTCCCTCTGCTCCCCAGCTTTAAAGACCCTCTTTTTTAAAAATCCTCACCCGAGGACTTTTTTATTTGCATTTATCTTCAGATAGAGCGGGAGGGAGAGAGGGAGGACGAGAGAGAGAGAAACATAGATTTGAGAGAGACACATCGAGTGGTCACCACCCTCGCGACCCCAACCAGGACCGGGGAACAACTGCAACCAAAGTACGTGCCCTTAGTGGAAACTGAACCCAGGACTCTCCGGTCCGTGAACCGACGCTCTAACCGCTGAGCCAAACCGGCCAGGGCTAAAGAACCTCTTTATCACGTATCCCTGGCCTGCAGAGCTCCACGGACTGGACAGACTCCTGGCCCCACCTTCGGAAGGAGGCACGTGGACAGCCACAGGTGCTCGTGTTAGATGTTGTTGGGTCCAGGCTGTTATTCCTGTTAAGGATTTGGAGTCAGCCGCCTCCCTCTCCGGGGTTTGATTGGAGGAAACAGTATTTGAAGGACAGCAGCGCAGTGCCACTGTGATTACTAGCTGGTTCAGCACCCAGTGTCACACACTGCAGGCTTGCCAGGCGTGAGTGCCACCTTCATAGCGCAGTGACCTTGGCCCTTAAAGAAACATAGTTCCTAGAATGTCCTAGAATGTCCTAGCTCTGACTGATAACATTAGCCATGTCTTGTCTCAAGGTACAGCCAGTTAAGGAGTGGAGAAAAGCATATTTGTTGGGGAAAAGCAAGACATCTCTTTCTCCAGTGCTTCTAAATCAAGCAGCGTCATTAAGTAGGGTGCAGACTGGAAGGTTAGGTTGTCCTAGAACCTTGAACACTGGAGAACTTCAGAGATTGTCGGGTGCGACTCGACTTCTTCATGAAAATGAGGTCCAGGGATGCTAAATGTCCCGCCCAAGGCCACACAAACCAGAACTCCCGTACCTGTAAACACAGCTTGCCCCTAACCCACCACACTGGGTATTGTAGATGCCGCTACAAGTAACACAGTGAGAGCCCTCCCTTCCTGAGGTCGGGGTACTGTTTCTCATCCTTCTGCTGGGCCTTGGCTTCTTTAACTTAAATAGGATGTTCCTGTTACATTAATTACATTTGAAGGTGATCTGAACATGAAGCATACTTTTTAATCTTAAAAAAATATTTTTTCCTTCTCATTTATAATTTCCTTCCTAATGCCAGGTTTCCAGCCCCCAAGCTAATAGCCCTGCATAGGTTGTTTTTTTTCTTTTTTTCTTGGATCAACTCAATTATTTTCTGAATCACACTGGGGAAAAACAACACAAAACACAGGGTTTTAGGGGTTATTGCTTTTTGAATTTTCTGAAACCAGAGACTCACGAGAACAGACTTTGTTAATGTGTTGAAGGAAGTAAAGATTCGCAAAACTGTGCTATAAAAGTCTCCACCTTCCAGTCTAGAGCATCAATGCCAGGGTGGTTCCAGGATCTTGAGACTTGCCTATTCATTTTATAAATATTAATTAATATTAATATTAATTTCTGAGGGTAAATCATCGCGTAAACATTTTTGTCCCTTGAATGAGAAAAATTTAGCAATGGGTTTGAGTATTTTCCATCAGAGGTCAACTCTAGGGTCCCCGCAATGACACAATCCCTCCTTGCTTGCACTGATAAAATGCAGTTTGCATGACACCCCACTGGGTGGTGGCCTGTGCTGGTGGTGGGTTTGTTGTATGTCACTCATGTTCTAGAAGCAGTTCCTAACAATTCCCATCTCAACATCCTGGAGCAGCCCCATCTCCTGCTCTATTTTTCACAGACATACTGAGATATTTGAGGGTTTGTAAACATACGCACCCGCTCGTGGAGTTCAGAAATCCAGTAGCACCAGAGAGTTGGGGCCAGTTGAGCTCATCTGTCAGTGCTGATGGTAAATCGATGAAAGATTTCTGAAGGAAAAATAAAGTGGCGATGATCAAAATGGTCATTTGTTTTCTACAGGTAGTAAGATTATTCATTGCCTAGGCATTGCTCTCTGTCTGTCTGTCTCACACTCTGTCTCTTTCTTAAAGTCTCTCTTTAAGAGACTTTGGCATTTAAATCATATACCTCTTAACTGGAACCATCAGAAAATTCACAAAAATCAGCATGCCCCATGAGCTGGCTCCCCTCCAGCACCTGAGAAAGATGCAGAGTGTGTGGTAGCTCATACCCACCCCTCACTTGAAAGGGATGTTTCAGCAGACAGGTCAACTCCCCACTCTATTCAATTTGCTGAGGTTTCCTCCATATTTGAGTTTAGACATTAAGGACATTGACTGCCCAAAAAGTAATAATATCCAAGCTCCCAGTAAAAATACTTTCTTGAATTCAAAGCTATTCTCTTGGTCAATAAGAGGGGCTTGCCCTCCTTGGTAGTGTCAGATGCCTTTGAGATTCTAATTACGGCTTTTCCCCCCACAAGATGCACGTGTACCAACGTGATCCATGAGTTCAAAAACTCCTGACGCAGAGAGTGCGCAGAATTAGGATCGGCTGAACCTCCTTGCTATGGGTTGTGCAAATTCAGGGAAGAGAATGTTCCCAGCCGTGTCCCTTGATTGTTCCTTTTCTAAATGTCCTCTGGGATGAACTCTCTCCTGCTCTAATTTCTAGAAAAAGCTTTATCTAGACTGATGTTTTCTGAACAGGGTTGCAAATGTTGCACATAGATGCCCATTAAACTTGAGTTTTGTGAAACTCAAGATGTGGTGTAGCCACATAATGGAATACTATGCAGCCTTAAAAAAAGAAGGGAATTCTGACACATGCTACAACCTGGATGAAATTTATTTAAGGACATTGTGCTAAATCCAGTGTCACAAAAAGATAAATACTGTATGATTCCACTTATATGAGGTTTTTAGTGTTGTCAGACTCGCAGAAACAGAAAGCAGAAAGATGAGTACTGGTATGGGGGGAGTGGGGGGAGATGGGGAGCTGCTGTTTAATCAGTATAGCATTTGCTCTGTAAGATGAAGAACTTCCAGAGATTGGTTGCATCTCAGTGCAAATAGAAATAACACTACTGAAGTATACACTTAAAATTGGCTACAATGGTTTAATGTTATATGTCCGTTATTACAGTGACAAAGTGAATGAGCAAAAATTTAAATTTCAGATACACAAAGGATAATTTTTAGTATATGTATGTCTCATGAAATGTTTGAGACATACTGATACTTAAAACATTATCCTTTGTGTATCTGAAATTCAAATTGAACTGGGTGTCCTATATTTCACCTGGGAATCCTACTTGGATAATAAGTCGGAAAGCCAACGTTCCCTTTTTGCCTTGGCTGACAGAAAACTCACAGACATACTGAGATGTTTGAGACATTCCTGGCTGCAGGAAGCAGGCTATCTTAGGTGTGTATTATCGTCACCTTCATGTGCCCTCCAGATACTTGATTATAGTAATTTACATCACATTGTATGTTACTATAATGTTTGAATTTTTATAATAAACGTACTACTTTGTAATCAGAAAAAAAACAAAGATACCATTTCAATCATATATTTTATAAAGTGCTCCCCGATTTTCAACTGAAATGAAAAATTAATTAAAAAAAGATACATTTTCAACTATCTAATGAGACAGAAGTGTGACTTTTCCTTCCCCTGCAGATTCACGTTCTCTCTAGGAGATAGGGCGAGGACCCTGGTGGGAGAGGAAGTGAGCAGGAGGCTGGGCCATATGCTGCTTGAAAAATTACATTCAATGATATGACCGCCTGCTGCGATGTGCCCTTAGATATTATCTTTATTTTTTAATTTTAAAATAACATTAAAGAAGGACTCGAGGTTTTTATGTTCATCTGAAGGGGGCATGGGTTTTCGGTACTCAGGACCATGCATGTCCAGGGATTGACATTTCATCGTCACCCGTTAGCAAGGGACACCCACCACTTTCAGCTCAAAACCCCACCATTACCGTGACTCAGCTGCTCTCTGTTTTGATTTCTGTTTCTCCTGCCACTATAATCAAATGTTTTCTCTGTGTTTGTTTGTTTGTTTGTTTTAAATCTGATTTCCCCCTCCTAGGTTCTTCCATTTGTGTGTTTGCGGTAGGATTTGAGAATACTCAATCCTGCTACAGAAGTCAAGAAAAACAAACAGAGTGGATGAAACTCATAAGATGTGTTAAGCTGAGATAGTGCGTACGCAGGTAGGTGGCTTGTGAAATGTAGGCAGAATTTATGAGCTGTGTTAAGTTAGCAGCCTACAAAATGTGTTAAAGGGTTAGAGAACGGTACAACACTCCCCCACACACTCGCCCACCCCTCCCTCAGTCATGTGCACAGTGACCGCCCCCAGCTTGGGACAGTGGATGAGGAGCCAGGCTTTCGCAGGAAGGAGTGAGGTAGGAACTCTGCTGGTGGTTGGAGGTGTGTCTGCTACCCTCCGAGCCTGGAATAACAATGGAGGTGACGGTAATTCTGAAATGAGCCACAAAACAGGACCAAGATTTGGCTGTAGGAATCAGATCTGAATTTTACATCTGGCTCTATAAATACAGCTAGCTCCACGTTCAGATATGACACATTAGAAGGGGGTTCCACCGCCATCCAGCCTCCAAGCTTCGTCAAGGGAGGGTGATACAATTCTGATCTCCACGGCGGGTAAGGTTGTTGGGGGAGGGGTAGGAGAGGTGAGGAAATGCCCAGCAACCTTGTCTTGGGCGGCGGGGTCTCCACGCTCTCAGGATTCTCCCAGCTTGTTTCAGCCACCTTGCTGCTCCCCCAGCAGCCCCAGCCCTGGAATCACCCATCAGCCTTTCCGCGGGAGTGGACAGCGGCTGGTGCTGAATTACAGAGGGACGACGGCGGATTTGCATCCACAGCCAGAGCCGAGGAAGGCCAGTCAGCTGCCTAGGTTTTTCCTGGATATTTGATTAACGTCAAAATAATGCAAATCTGTGTTTTCCTGGTTAAATATTTTAGACCTCCCTCATGTGTTATGGTGAGGTTTTAATACTCCTCACTGTGCAAAAATTAGGGAGGATGTAGCTTTAGCAGGGTGTCGGTTCAGTATCTCCTATGGCTATCGATGATTACCCTGTGGACCAGAGCAGTCAGCAGGGTTGCTGGGGGGTCAAAGGCCAGTGCGAGAAGCAGGTTGACAAGTAGAAGCCCTACACCATGGGAAGCATCATGCTGAGAACGGGTCACCTAGTGTCCCTTTCCAAGTGGACTATCCCGAGTCTAAGAGGAGTGGATTTTATTGCCCGCCAACAAAAAGATTTGAGCAGACCCATGGAAGCCTCCTCATATTTTTCTTCCTTAGTAAATGTGGTAGATAAAAATGAGAAGTAACAGCCACCAATAGCAAAGGTTTTATAGACCCTAGCAACAAGAGAATGTGTAAGTCATATCACATTAAACACTAAACGCCTTATTCATGCAACATTATTCCTGAGATTGTTCAGGCATTTACGGCAGGAAATATGCAAATCGAGATCTCCCTCATCAACTCCTGCTTATTCCTTTTGAGCATTTATGTTCTCAGAAAACTCATCTTAAATGTACCTTAAATATACATATGTGGGAAGACTTAATATTTATCAAGAAAAATTTTCCAAATGTGTAAAGACCACAAGATATTCGGTGAGTGTTACGCCAACTATTTCATTGTTTCAAAATTTCTTTTGATTTTATCAATGACATAAAAGTGTTTTTATGTCCTAAGAAATATACATATTTTTAAAATATGTTTTTATTGATTTTTTAGAGAGAGAGAGAGAGGTTGAAACACACATGTGAGAGAGAAACATCCATCAGCCGCCTCCTGCACGCCCCCTACTGGGCTTCGAGCTCACAACCTGGGCATGTGCCCTGGCCAGGAATCGAACCTGCAACTTTTTGGTGCACGGGACAGTGCTCCAACCAACTGAGCCACCTGGCCAGGGGAGATTTGGAAATATTTTAAGCCTTAGATTCAACAAGCAACTTATGTTTGGGTTTCTTCCAGCACCTGCAGTGAGAGAAAGAGTGATGCCTTCAGTCACAGTTCAGCTGGCTCCGCACTTTCCCTGCGACAAAGGGAATCTTGTGGTCCCTTTATTTCACTGTTCCATTGGAGCCCTCCCGACCCGGCAGTGCTGCGGGGAATTTGCACAGTGTATTTCCTTCTCTGTCACTCCTCACTGAGTTAGACCTAAATTGATTATTTTCAAGTAGTACAAAGTCACTCGGACGAAACTGCAGCTGATGGAAAAATATGTGAAAAATACCATCATTACCATCATTGTTATTCTCATCGAGATAAGGCAGCAAGAGAAAGACAAATACCATATGATTTCACTTATGTGTGGAATCTCATAAACAAAATAAAGGAACAACCAGAAGAGAAACAAGCTCATAGATACAGAGAACAGACTGACAGCTGTCAGAGGGAAGGGGGGGTTGGGGGGCTGGGTGAAAAAGGTGAAGGGCTTAAGCTAAAAAAAAAGACACAGATAACAGTATGGTGATCGTCAGAGGGAAGGGGGGGGGTGCGTGGGGAGGTGGAAGAGGGTAAAGGGGGGATAAGTAATGATGGAAGGAGACTTGACTTGGGGTGGTGAATACACAATACAATATACAGATGATGTATTTTAAAAATGGACACTCGAAACCTATATGGTTTTATTAACCAATGTAGTCCCAATGAATTCAATTAAAAAATTAAGATTCCATAAAAAAATACCATCATCAATTAAATAAATATACTTGTTTTTTACTTATTTCCTAGGATCTAAATTCTCAAAGCAGAAAAGTTTTGGTTTTCTTACGCAAAGAAGAAAAAAGCTCTTAGGCTGACCTGTGGATAACGGGACAAGTGTCATGGGCTGGGACTCAGACAACAGCTACCTGTCAGCAGCAGGGCTGCAGCTATCCCCGTCCTGGGCACTGGCCACTGCCTCAGCTGTCCTGCCGGTGAACGGGGGAGGCGTCCCTCCGGCTTTATGCCACTCAGTCCCACAGTCCCTGCCTCTTGCCTTCTGAGGCCACTCATGCCCAAGGTCCCCGCTTCCTCAGCACTTCGGTCCCTGTTCAATCGGAATGCCAACCTGAGAAACGTCAAGGGTCCTCCTTGACCTTCACACACACTTCCTGGCTCTGGTCCCAATCCTTCAGGCTTTGAAATGCGAATGAGTCCTACAAACGCATGCACACCCCTTCACGAGGCCGATTCCCAGACAACTTTTGCATTTTAAGCCAGAGCGGGAAAGGGAACTGATACAGCATCTCCCTTACGTGGCGGGTGCTAAGCTAGGACACTTGTATCAACAGTTAAACTTCCTCCAACAGGCCTGTGCCTCAGGGACCCGTCATTTCCCTCTCTGCCTCTCTCCCTTCCACTAACACTTTCTGAGCAATAACTATGTATCAGATACTGGATTTTGCCTCTTAGAAAAGAACAAGTGTGTAGGCCTCAGAGGAACAGGAAATTAAACGCCTGAGCCTCAGACTAAGTAGATATTGAAAAGCCCCTTTGCTAATGGCACCTCCCGTGGCTGCCTCTGGCTCGTGGAGGTCGCAGAGGTGGGACACCGAGAGGCTGGGATTCGAACCCAGGTTCCAGGGGGATGAGAAGGGGAGAGGCTTTGCATAGGCAGGATCCTTGTGAAGCTCAGCTTTCACTAGCCCCTTATTTCTGGTCCTTGCTGCCCCCGGAGCTACCACGTCTCATGGGGCCACATCGGCTGAGCTGGGTTTGCTGGTGGTTGGAAACGAGGCTTCTCGGCTGCGTGCCGAGGGGCTGGCCTTTCAGACACGGCTTTGGGTAAAAAGTCCGGAAATCCACAGATTACCCGAGAGTTGTTGCTTCCGCTTCTCTTTCGGCGCAAGTCATGCACAACTTAGGAAGAACACAGAATGACTGTTTCGGGGGTAAATACTGAAATGACATGGGACCCCACACAGACTCCCAGGGCCTGCTCTGCCCCGACACACGCTGGGGACAGGCAGCCACACGGCACATCGTGGGCTCACTGCTAGCCTGGAGGTGCCTCTTCCAGGGCAGCCTGACCAGTGAAGACCTGGGGGACAGGGAGAGAATACACATCTGCTCCTGCCTCTGGAGCCTCAGGGCCACCTGGGTGGGGCAGCACTGTTCTCACCAGCCAGTGATAGGATATGGACAGCTGCAGGGCATAGTTGAACGCTCTGAGTTTGACTCGTAAACCTTAGAATCCCGTGAGCAGTGGAATGAGTCTCATATGGAGGTTCCTGTTGCCCTGTAATTCATCAGAAATGTGAGAGGGGGAGGGAGAGGCACATTACGTGCCAGCCTGTGACGGGCACGCTGCTGACCGCTTCATCAGGCCGTTGTAAGTTCCTGCGTGGAGCTCACCGTCCCCGCTGGGTAACCTTCAGGACTTTCCCTAATTCCTCCATGTCTCAGTTTCTTTATAAAATGCACCAATAACAGCACCTATCTCACTGGGTGGTTGAGAGGATTTGAAAAGACAGTTCATGCATAGTTTAGAATTGTAAGTGCTCAATAGAACTGAACGCTTGGAGATATGAATCCAGGCATTATGTCAGCATGTAGAAAGAAATACCCATCCCACATGTGGGGAATCGGGGAAAGAGTCTTACAGACCTGTGGTCTGATTGAGTCCTGCAAGGTTAGCAAGAAGGAGCCAGGCAGAGTTTAAGCAATGCCACGTACAAAACCCCAAGGCCGAACTGATAATATTATGCACAAGGAACATCCACAACTTCCCCCTCAAAATGAGCACCTCAGACATCAAGTATACCAGTTATCCATTGCTATGTAAAAAATTACCCCACATTTAGCAGCTTAAAACATATGACAGACCAGCTGACCAGTAACAAGAACAATAACTACTCAACGCACATGTGAACTTCAACTTGAGCTCAGTCAATAAATTCCAGGGAAAAGGTACAGCCTTTCATCTGATCCTACGCCAGTTCAAAACTATATGAGACCGCGAGGAAACAGTCAAATAAAGAATTCTAGCAAAATGTGGCCAGTGAACACATAGAAGGCACAATGGCAGGCAATAATCTTTCATCACTTTGCCTGGAAACAGCTCTTTTTATTATTTTGTTACCTTGTCATCTCCTCTTAGTTTCTTCCTTTCCCCTTTTCTATTATTTATTATTTCATCTGTAGCCCCATGATTTATTTATTCAATGCATGAACCGAGGGATGCACTTATCGAACTGTCTCACACCAAATGAAAACGCATCTCGCAGTTGGACTTGACCGAATTCAGTTCCTTCCATCATCATTTGTAGAGCGACCGGAGAACGGTATCAAGATCCGTAACAGTGAGAAAACAGGAGTTTAAATGGCCTGCTCTTACAAAGCGTATCACACGTCAATTCTTTCACAGGGCCAGTGAAACCAATTCTTCCACCAACAGGACAAGTAAGTCCTTTGAGGGCCAGAAACAGTCCCATAGGGCGCCTATCAGAAAGGGGGTGCTTTGACATCTTTGCTTGGCTTTGCAAGAGCAGGGTCATTTCTAAAGCACCAGGCTGTCATTTTTCTGGGTTGAGGGTAGCTTCTCTTTTTCAGAGAGGTCATATCTTGAATTTGGCTTTGGCAGAAGCCCAAAGTGCACAATCAAGCCGCGGAGAGAAGACCATTGGAAGCCGTGAGTGGGGGCCCAATGACCAGGCCTGAACCGGGCTCCCACCCCCCAGTACCGGAAATGACCTCATTTTCTCCCTCCCCTCTCTTTCATCTCAGCCTGAGAAGCTACCACGGACCCTTGCTGCTTCTCTTCTCCTGACTTGCATAGATGATGGCCCTGGTTACTGCTGTACCTCTGGCCAGGGTGCCTGTCTCCTCACTGTTGAGACCATTCGGTTCTGCCTTTGTAGTTGAAAGCAGTCATAGACACCATGTAAATAAATGAGCATCCTGCATTCTAATAAAACTTTATTTGCAGGTGGAGGGCCGCATTTGGCCTAAGGGACATTGTTTGCTGACCTCTGCTCCAGGGTTGGCCAGACTCAGTTTCTAGCTGAGCTCCATGTTTAACCGCATTACCTTGGGTAAGTTAGCTCCTCTCTCTAAGTCTCCATTTCTTTATAAAATACACGTAATCACAGGGTCATTTAGTATTAAATGAGATAATGCTAAGTACCATGCCTGGCGTGTGGTAAACACATAGAAATATCTACTTCATGTTATTATTATGTTTGTGAGTTTGTGTGTCTATCTTTCCAATGAGACCTGAAGCGCCTTAGAGACTGCTTCTCACACCTAGAGCTCCAGTTGTCCACCCTTATCTCTGTTCTGTGTCGCTAATAATAGAGCTTTTCCAGTGTTGGCTGGGCGCCTGCTGTCCAGCCAGGACTGCGCTGGGCCACCTCTGCTGCAGCACGGGGTGGCCTGTGACCAGGTTCTACCTCTGTGTCAAGTTCTCCCAAGGAATGGTCCTTTTTCTTTCCCGCAGGTGGGAGGGGGTAAGAATGGGAGCAGCCACCTGGGACGCAGAGATGACACCTGCACGTTGAGGATGGTCTACCTTTCCTGCAGCCCTGGACTGCCTTCCTCTGGGTTACTATGAGAGGAAAACACACTTCCATTTTAAGTCATTGGATTTTGGGATTCTTTGTTACAGCAGCTAAGCCTAGAGCCTGCTTGCTTCATAACTAGTCTTCTAGGAAGGACTGATCCATTCACCCTTCTTGCTGGCTCTCATGTGCATTACTGCTCCTTCCTGATCTTCTTTCCTGTGGGCTCTTTGTCAGTCGGGCTTTAAACTCTTGGCTCGGTGACGCTGTTCTCCGTTTCTGTCTCAGGAACCTTTGGACCGGTGTTTCATGATGCTCCCTTGATTTCCTCTAGGAGTTACGGTTTAGTTCATCCATCTGACTAACCTTGCAGCCATTGCCTTGAGTTGGAAATTTCCAGGAAATTGTACAGTAACAAGAGCTGGGTGGGTATTCGCTGTCCCTTCATCCCCCCAAGAAGCGGCCTGGAGGGAATTAGACAGTTGACTGATCCAATGAATGAATAATGTGTAGCAATTGATTCCAGCCATCCAAAACCATTTTTAAATGCCCAAATCTCCTCTTTCTGCATTCCAGTGGGTTTGAGATTCTACGTGTTTCCCCTGTGATGAGTTAGTCCCATCTTATGGTGGAGGAACTTGAGGGAGAGGGGAGCCGAGTGGTAGATACAATTAATTAGGGGGCAAGAGTCTGCACCCCGATCTTAGCAGCACACCAGAAGGCACAGGTGTTTAGGACTCACGCTGCCTCCCTGTGTGGATATCTCCATCTAACAAGCTAGAGAGCAGGCATGTGGCTGAGTAATTACGAATGCCTTTCAGAAGCATGGAGCTTAAAAATAATTTCCTCTTGCTGTTTTTAATAACAACGAACGTTTGTCTTTTTTAATTCTCGCAGACGGCAGTGAGGGCTAAGATCACTGATGTTTTCGGAAGCACGAGCCTACAAGAGCACCCAGCCTGGCTGGCAGGTAAGAGACCCAGATGCTTACCTTGGGCAGGAACAACAGGCATTCAATTGATCAGGCCTCAAGGCAACGGCCCATCTGGCTTGTGCTCCTGAATAGGGGAAGAGAGCAGAACATCCTGCTCCCGTGGCCTGATCCCCCTCGGAGAAAAGGATTCAGCATGGTGAACGCACCACCCTTTTCTGATGGAATAAATCAGAAGCAGCTCGGATAGAGGCTTCTCTTCTTCCCTTTGAGCATCTTCAACCTGACAGGCTGCAAAGTGTTTAGACGCAGGAAATGCCATTTCGCCCAGTTGTACTAACCAACAGCCTTTCCTCGTCTTAAAAAAATAAGAATAAAAGAGAGTACTCTCTTTCTTTCTTTCTTTCTTTCTTTCTTTCTTTCTTTCTTTCTTTCTTTCTTTCTTTTCTTTCTTATTTATTTTATTTTTGTTACAGATGTTTCTCCTTTTTTACCCCATTGACACCCCCCTCCCCATCCCCCCCACCCTGTCCCCACCTTTCATGTCCATGTCCATTGGTTATGCGTACATACATACAAGTTCTGTGGTTTATCTCTTCCCTCCCCCCATAACCCCCTCTTTTGAGGGTTGCCAGTCTGTACCCTACTTCCACAGGTCTACTCTATTCCTCAGACTGTTATGTTGATTATATTCCACAAATAAGTGAGATCATGTGGTATTTGTCTTTTCTGGTTGGCTTGTTTCGCTTAGGATAATACTTTCTAGGTCCCTCCATGTCGTCTCAAAGGATAAGAGATCTTTTCTTACAGCTGCATAGTACTCCATTGTGTATATGTAACCACAGCTTTCTTATCCATTCATCTACTGATGAACACTTGGGCTGTTTCCAGATCTTAGCTATTGTAAACAGTGCTGCTATGAACATGGCATATATATTACATATATTATACATATATTCTTTCTGATTGGTGTTTCAGGCTTCTTAGGGTATATTCCTAGAAGTGGGATCACTGGGTCAAATGGCAATTCAATTTTTAATTTTTTGAGGTAATACCATAGTGTTTTCCATAGTGGCTGCACCAGTCTGCATTCCCACCAGCAGTGTACTAGAGTCCCCTTCTCTCCACACCCTCGCCAACACTTGTTTGATGATTTGTTGATGGCGGCCATTCTGACAGGTGTGAGGTGATACCTCATTGTTGTTTTAATGTGCATCTCTCTGATGATTAGTGATGTTGAGCATTTCTTCATATGTCTCTTGGCCATTTGTATGTCCTGTTTGGAGAGGTGTCTCTTCAGCTCCTCTGCCCATTTTTTTACTGGGTTCTTTGTCTTCCTTTCGTTGACTAACTCTTAAATACTTCTGGAGTCAACATAAAACTAGATGAGGCAGAATTTCCGTAGTTTATATGCACCATGAAAATCAGCCAGAAATGTCTGCTTCATGGAAGCTCTAGTCTCACTGATAAACTCAGGGGGCTGGGAGGGGCCGGCTGGAGGCAGCCACCTGGGGGCCTGGAGACTTCTGGCTTGTGTTGCGCGCAGGCCAGTAAAGAGGCTCCGAACCTGATCTCAAATCATCTCAAAGAGGAATGAAGCGCACGAGGGCTTGAGAGATGGGAGCCCCATTGCTCTGGGGTGAATATGCATCACCTGCAGCCAGATTAAGGGTTCATTAAGGATTCATTTTGTCCTTGACACAGCACGAAATTCAATCCGTGCCTGCTTACCCTTCCGACAGCAGCCTGCCAGGGGTCGTGCTAGCATTTTATCAAGTGCAGACAACAGCCTTTGCTGGCGAGATAAACATTTGGGAAATTGGGTTTCAGAGTCGCTTCTCCCCCTGCTCCCCCTGCCCCCAACCTGCCATCCAATTCTGTGTTCGGTGAAACACAGCGTTTTTATATTTTGGAAATAATTTTTGAGCAGATGGGGATGGAGGCAGGAGGGCGGTATCCATTGCGGGCCTTGGGGACCTCTCTACCTTGCTTTCTTTTTCAACAAAGCAACTCAAGCAGTGAGTGTTTTTCCAAAAAAAGAAAGAAAGAAAAAAAAGACAGCATGAAAGTGTTTTCAGATTTGTTCCTTGTTTTCCTTTGAAATCTTCTGAAGTTGACATGGAAGCTTATTGTGACTCTGCCGCCTGGGGGTGTCTGGGGGAGAGGAGGGTGTTGTTTAAGGGGGAGGTTAGGACTGTCTGCCTGGCCCCAGCTGGGCGAGGCTCAGGACCCTGCTTCTGCGGAGCCACGAGGGTGATTCTTCACACTCTTTATTGAGCTACAAATGTCTTTCCAAATGAGCACACTCCTAGTCTAATTAGCTGTAAACAGTCCCCCCCCCCCCCCCCCGTGCCGGCGCCGCACCGCTTACCCAGAGGGCGGCATGAGCAGGAGAGGGGCTGTGCAGGGAGGCCCCAGGATGCCCTTCCTTCTCATGGCACAGTTGGGATGGGGTGATGCATTTGCAGGGGTGTCTTCTGCTTTGCAGGGAGACAGAGGCACACAGATGTTCCGTGGTCTCACAGAGGAGTTGCCTATTTGCTCTCTGTTTCCCACGGGCCTGAGGCTCTCTGAGGACCACTCTGTCACCACTGTGTCATTAGCCCCTGTCACAGGGCTTGGCGCACAGTAGGTCCCAGGTTAGTATTTGGTGATCGGTTGTTTATACTTGCTCCAACCATTAAAAGCCAAACAACCAAAGAATGAGACAGCCGAGCTCAACATACCTCTTGGATGTGTGCGAGGCAGGGTGCTCGTACCTAGGCTGACTCCCTGTGCAGAGGAAGGGGTTCTATAGGGAATACATTTTAAAAATTGGAGGCTTTTTTTTTTTTCAAGGAGCATGATCCATAGTAGCCAAAAAAATGAAACCATGAATCAGCTTAATATTTGGTCTTGGGGGGAATAAATGGTTTAATAGTTTATGGCTTGTACACTGAAGGAGATTCTGTGGGCCCCGGCCGGTGTGGCTCAGTGGTTGAGCGTCGACCCGTGTACCTAGAGGTCGCCGGTTCAATTCCCGGTCAGGGTACATGCCCAGGTTGTGGGAGGCATGCAGGAGGCAGCCAATCAATGTTTCTATCTCTCTCTCCCTCTTCCTTCCTTTCTCTCTCTAAAATCAATAAAGAAGAATTTTTTTTTTTTAAAGAAAAAGATTCTGTGGGCCTTGGTTGGTGTGGCCCAGTGGTTAGAACGTCGGCCTGCTGACCAAAGGATTTTGGGTTTGATTCTTGGTCAAGGGCATGTACCTGGGTTGTAGATTCAATCCCCAGCCCCTGTCCAGGCCCATGAGGAAGGCAACCGACCGATGTGTCTCTCTCACATTGATGTTTCTCTCTCTCCCTCCCTCCCTTTTTTCCACTCTCTCTAAATATCAATGGAAAAAATTGAGGATTAACAACAACAACAAAATAATAAGATACTGTGGAGCAGCGATAACTATAGTAAGTCTAAAGACTAAGTAGTAACGTGGAAAAATGATTACGATTAGCACTAATTGTCAAAAAGGAGAAGCACCAGTGGTATACTTGCTATTCATGTGACTGCCGGGTGTGTGTGTGTGTGTGTGTGTGCATTGTGGGGTGCAACGCTGGGAAAGAATGGAAAAATTGGAGATGACGAGGGATTTTTTTTTACTTTTCAAAATTAGTTCTAATGCTGACTTTATGCAGTCATTTTTTTCTAAGAAGAATATTAAAAGAATATTTCAAAACCAATCTTATACTCCAGAATGTTAAAACAATTCTCTCTGGGTGGTAGAATTAAGGGGAATTTTAACGATTTGTTAATAATTTCTGTATTTGCTTCTTTTTCTCTATTGAATATCTAACATTTATAATTAGATCAAAGCAATACAGTAAATAATCCCTCTCTTCCTCTCTCCCTTGGGGCAGACAGACTTCCTTCCCCATCGATGGGGGTAGGGCCCTCCACGTGCTTTGGCTGGTGGGCTGGTGGGCTGGTGGGCTGGTGGGCGTGGCTCAGCAAGTGTGTTTGTGTAGGGGCCTCGCCCTCTGACACACCTGCTGTTACCCTGAAAAAACGCAGTCGGCATAGACCGTCCGACCAAGAAGAGGGAGAGATGTATGGGGCAGTTCTCCACTTAACCTTTAGGTTGGAGCCAAGACCAACAGAGCCCGTTGGAGAACAGCTGAGCCCAGACAACTTCTGTGTGGGTGAGAAGAAATGGCGATTGTTTTAAGTCGCTGAGATTTGGGGTGGTGTGTGCAGCATTCCTTTGACTATAACTTGGTGACGAAGTTTCATTTTCTGCATCAGTTTTCTAAGCAAAATATTTCTCTCTACTCTTCTTGTCCCATCATCCATGCTTATCAAATGGTAGCTCACAGAGGGGGCCTGGGCTTGGAGCGACGGGCTACTTCGCTTAGAGAGGAGTGTGGGCCTGAAGAGACATTTTAGGAACCAGAACATCCAGGGCTTGACATAAATGACAAAATGATGCTAAAACTGTAATATTGTCCCCACCATCAACAGCATTATTAACATGCAGGTAAGTCTCATGACTCTTAATTACCGTTATGCTCAATTTGGGTTCGTCATCAGCCCTACTTGGTTACTCCTTCTCATAGTCATTTCTCAAAAGTGTGTACTGCCCCGAGGTGATGGGATGCAGTGGGGCAGGAAAGAATCCAAACCCAGGCCAACAAACGCTCACCTGTGGATTTCAATTCGTTTGTGGTTGCAAAGAGCAGATCAAAAAGGTTTCCATGCAAGTCCTGATGGTCAGGACTCCAGCAGATCTCCCTTTGTTGGTGCTGTTGTTACTTCTCACCTGAGGATATTTTTCCCCCATTGATTTTTAGAGAGTGGAAGGGAAGGAGGGAAGGAGGGAGAGAGAGAAACATTGATGTGAAAGACACACATCGATCAGTTGCCTCCTGCACACCCCAACCAGGGCCAGGAATTGAACCTGCAGCCCAGGCACTGGGAATCGAACCCACAACCCACTGAGCCACATCCAGCCAGGGTGCAGGAGTGATTTCTTATTTATTTATTTTTATTTATTTATTTAATCCTCACCCGAGGACATTTTTGCATTTATCTTCAGACAGAGCAGGAGGGAGAGAAGGAGGAAGAGAGCGAGAGAAACATCAATGTGAGAGAGACACATCGACTGGTTGCCTCCTGCACGACCCTGACCAGGGCCGGGGACAAACTGCAACTGAGGTACGTGCCCTTAGTGGGAACCGAACCCAGGACTCCTTGGTCCGCGGGCCGACGCTCTAACTGTTGAGCCACACCAGCCAGGGTGGGAGTGATTTCTTTTTTTTAAAAAAATTAATTAATTTATTTATTAATTAATTTATTTTTTAATCCTCACCGGAGGACATTTTTCCATTTTTTGTTGAGGTAGAGTGGGAGGGAGAGAGAAGAACAGAGAGAGAGAGAGAAACATCGATGTGAAAGGGACACATCGAGTGGCTGCCACCCGCACAACTGACCAGGGCCGGGGACAAACTGCAACCGAGGTATGCGCCCTTAACAGAACCGAACCCAGGTCTCTCAGGACCGCAGGCCGACGCTCTAACCGCTGAGCCAAACCGGCCAGGGCAATTAATTTATTTTTGATACAGATGTTTCTCCTTTCCCCCCACTAATTTCCCCCCTCCCCCCCTCCCTGCCCTGTCCCCATCTTTGTTGTCTTTGTCCATTATTCATGCATACATGCATATAAGTTCTGTGGTTTATCTCTCCCCCACCACCCCCTCTTCTGGGGATTGTCAGTCTGTACCCCACTTCCACGTCTCTGGGACTACCCCATTCCTCAGACTGTTATGTTCATTATATTCCACAAATAAGTGAGATCATATGATACTTATCTTTCTCTGTTTGGCTTGTTTTGCTTAGGATAATACTTTCCAGATCCCTCCATGTCGTCTCAAAGGATCAGAGATCTTTCTTTCTTACAGCTGCGTAGTACTCCATTGTGTGTATGTACCACTGCTTTCCGGGAGTGATTTCTTTAAAATGGCTTCTCAGTGGGTCTTTCTCCTCCCCAGAGACTTAGTGCTCAGTGGCGAGCCAGAGGCCGTCCTCCCCCGAGAACCTGCCCCTCCGCCTCCAGAGGCACAGATGCGGTGGGAGGACACGCGGGAGGACCCCGGCCCGCCTGGTGAGGGGCCCCCACTGCCCTGCGGGGTTGGGCGTCAGCTCACTGGTGCTCGGTTTGAATCCAGCCTCCGGTTCGGAGCATTTTCACAGCCTTGAGCTCGCTGGAGCCCACAGCCTGGCTTGAGATCGTGTCTATCCTCATCGCCAGCGCTTCTGGGTAGGCGGCTTGCTCAAGGTGACGCGGACAGGAAGCGGTTCCGACACCTGTCCCCTGCGTGTCTATAGAGCGAGGCTGTGCTGCAACAACACCACTCCAGGGGGCTCTTACAGGGTCAATGGAGCTGCCCTGGTTTCTTCAGCCTGTTTCCCCCAAGCTGTTTGCCGACAACAATACGGAACAATCCCCCAAACCTTGTCTTACAATAGTTGGTGCAGGCATGATACAAGTTCACTGAAAAACATTACCCCGAATTCTGCCGTCCACCACACTGATTTAGAACCTTCAGTGATTTTCTTTGCGCCCAGACACACACATTCGGTATTTACAAGGACTGGACCACACCTACCGCTTTGCCCCTTGCTTTTGCCCCTAACACACACAGTTTCTCGCCAGTAACTGTGTCTATGATGCCTAAAGTATGAATGGTTGCATAGTGTTTCATTTTATGGCTGAAATATAATTTTACATCGTTAATCCCCTATTTTTTAATATTTCTTTTCTCACTGTTGCTCTTATAAATAGCTCTCTGATGAATACTCATGCCCGTAGATTCTTGAGCAAATGACTGGTCAGTTTCAAAGGTAAATTTCCAGATGTGAACTTACTGGTTAAAACCATGAACCTTTTACTGTCACTTTGTACATAATGAACTTCCTTACGGAGAAGTTCAAGCGTCTCCAGCTCCCATTGGCAGTGGAGGAACACGTCCGTTTTACCATAATCTTGCTAATACGAGGCCCTTATCCCTTCTTAACCTTTGCCTACTTGACAGATGATAAGTGATACTGCATTTTCATTTTAATTTGTGTTTCTTTGATTCCTACTGAAGATGAAACTTTTTATATTGATTGGTCATGTTCTATGCCATTAAGAATTTATTTATTTTTCTTATTGATGAGCAGAAGCTCTTGGTTATTAGAGGATTTAAATCCTGCCTTATAGGTTATAAATATTATTCGACTTTTTCACTTGTCTTTTATCTTACGAAGCTTTGACATTGCATCCATTTGACAAATATTGCATGATATTATATAATTAAATCTAGTAATGATTTTTCTTTGACCTTCATCTGATAAAATCATGCTCAGAGAGAACTGGAATGCTTTTTAAAATAATTCTTTTCCAGGAAGACATACGTCTGGGATGTCTTCTGAATCTCTGAACGCCTGGGAATAAGCTTCCGTGGCCCTCAGGTCGGACCAACGCCCTGGCAGTTTCTGACGCACAATTTTTGGTTCTCAGACCCCTGCAGAGGCCACCCCACTGTGTCAGAAATGTGGTGCTGAGAGATGTGGACCCTGGTTGGTTGGTCACTGGGCAGAATGACAAAGATTTGCTCTTTGTGCTGGAATAACAGGAAAAGCAGGACACGGTGCGGAGAGGGGCTCTTTTATGCTCTGGCCTGGCCAGCGGAGGTTTTGCATTGAAGACAGAGGTTTCCTCAACGCAAGGAGACTCCTTTCATTATTGGTTTTGTCACTTTTCCTCTTCGCCTGATGTTTGCTCTTCTTCTGGGTTTCTTGTTCAGTTCCGGGACCCCTCCTGCCTGCCCCTCGTCTGGGTTCCAGAATTTTCCCAGCTGGCTGGCAGGCTGTCCTTCTGTTTCTGGCGCTGGCCGACCTGCCCGTCGGCATCACCACCGCGTTCCCCCATCGAGGAGTTACTGCTTCCCCCACAGGAGTCGTCCTGACCTCAGACCGGGCCTCTTTCGTGGTACGATTGCTGCTCATTACTGCTGAGGATTTGGATTTAGTATTTACGAAATGTCACTCTTTCTTACAGCTGGCTTTTTTTATACAGACACTCTTCTTTTGAGATTAGGAGCGTTTGTTTGTTTGTTTGTTTATTTATTTAATCCTCACCTGAGGACATTTTTCCATTTTTTGTTCAGGTAGAGCGGGAGGGAGAGAGAGGAACAGAGAGAGAGAGAGAGAGAAACATCGACGTGAAAGGGACACATCGAGTGGCTGCCACTCGCACGACCAACCAGGGCTGGGGACAAACTGCATCGGAGGCACGTGCCCCTAGCAGGAACCGAACTCGGGTCTCTCTGGACCGCAGGCCAATGCTCTAACCGCTGAACCAAACTGGCCAGGGCAGGAGCGTTTTTTTATATACCCGATGTTTCTCAGCCTGCTCATCGATACAAAGGGGGGGGGTGTCTATGTTTGCCCAGTTTGGGGACTTGGGAGAGGTTCAGAGCCTATTCAGGTTCATGTCCAATTTCTTTAGTCTGAGAAGAAGGGGTCAAGAAAGAATTGATTGCCCTGGACAGTTTGGCTGAGAGGTTAGAGCGTTAGCCTGAGGACTGAGGGTCACAGGTTCGATTCCCGGGCAAGGGCACACACCTGGGTTGCAGGGTCGATCCCTGACCCTGGTCAGGATTGTGTGGGAGGCAACCGATTGATGTGTCTCTCTCACATTGATGTTTCTCTCTCTCCCTCCCTCCCTTCCTCCCTCCCACTCTATGTAGAAATCAATGGAAAAATATCCTTAGGTGAGGATTAACCAAAAAAAAAAAAAAAAAAGAAAGAAAGAAAGAATGGATCATTTCTGTATTTGAATTTCTCTGGGCCAGAGTTTCAGTTTTCTAGGAGAGGCAGGAGGGAACCACCCCAGAGGTACCATCTGTGGGACAGTGATTTCCCCACTGGGCCTCCGTGTCTCTCCGCTCAGCAGGGGCACCTCGCCCTTCTCCAGGGGAGGTGCTCTGGTTTCGAGCCTGTTGTGACAATGCCCTCCTGTCGCTTACCACACTGTTTGAAATGAACCAAACTGAAAAGGATGTGTCTTTTATGGTGGATTTTGCTGAGCAGGAAAATTTGCACCTGTCTAGAGTCGGCATCCCATTTAGAGAGAGTACAGAGAAACACACACAAAGGCCACACGGCCGGGACCATTACTGCCAAAATGACTTACCAAGGACATCTGCGAAGCCGTGATCCATTCCGGAGGGATGTGGAAATGAGCCCCAGCTGAGTCTCCCAGCAGAATGATCCCCCTGGGCTCTGAACCTAGGGGCACAATTCATTGGCGTTATTTCTGCTCTCGGGTAGTTTAAAGCCTCCAGACTGTGCAGTTGGGAGAGCGGGTACCTGGTGTGTATTCCACGCACAGAGCATCTTAACAGTGATGCATTGCCACCCTTGTGTGCCGCAGAGTGAGGGACAGAGCGTCTCGGAGCTCAATGAGATCTCCGCGCCATCGACACCGTTGGCTAAGCCGTACAGATGACGGCGTGCTCCCCAGCTCAGCATAAAACAAACTGCCGTGAGACGTCCTGAGCGAATGACGGATGATACGTGAATCCAAACTTTATCTGGACTCGAAAATGTGCCCTAAATTTTGGTTCTGGAAATTGCTCTGTGGACAGCACACCGATTTCTGTTATAATTCACTTTAAGAACTACTGATCTCCTGGAGCAATTTTGATTTAGCAAAGATGTTATGACCCCTTAAAGCTCTTAATCCATATACGCAAAAGCACTGGATGGACGGTTCTGCTGAGTGATGGAGAGATGGCGACACAAAGGTCCCTGAGCGTTCTGGTGTGTTTGGAGGTTAAGAATCACTTAATGGGATTCTGAGGCCCATCGATACAAATCATCCACCCATGGGTGATGCACATACTCTTCCAAATCCCTTAAGATCCTGGAAGAATTCACTGGTGCCTCCCAGAGTCAGGGAGGGGAGACTCCTTCCCCCACGACCCCCCCGCCCCCCCAATTACCCTCACTCCAGTGGCTTCTTGTCTGGGACCCCTGTGACAGCTTGGCCACACGGATGGTGACTGAGAAGACTTGGACATCAGGAGGGGTGCAGATGTGGGGAATTCAAGACACTTCCCACAGTGACCCCAGAGCCTTATACCAGGATTTTCACTTAGATCTGAGATTCTTTATGCATTTGTTTGTTTGTTCATTCATTCTTTTATTCGTCCATCAGGCATTTCTAAACCCGTAACTGTGTGTTTCCGACCTTTCTGCCTCTCTGAGAGCTTAACTGTAATTATACATGAAGTTGGCTGAGGGCAAGGCCTGCATCATGTCTGCCGCGAAAACTCAGACCCAGGGACAGCTCTTGGTACTTAATAGGAATAGACATTCAGGAAATACCTGTTGAATGAATGAATGAAACGCTTTTAAATGCTGGAGAAAACCATTGCCTAAGCATAAAAGAGTGATGCTACCAGAGGTCTTGCTGGAGACTCAGCATCACTGGGAGCAGGTTCTTAGCAATATGTGGGTGGGAACAGGTTTCTCCTGACAGTACCGGGAGCCCACGCGTCAGAGGCATTTCGGAGTTTAGAACACAGCTTTGGCTCGGCTGTTTTGGGAACTCCAAAGGCTGTAGCTTAGAGGGGCCCTCGAGTCACCCAGGTGTGAGTCTTACTCCAGCTGACACGGGGATGCTGTCGGTACAACTCCAGACACCTGAACTTGCTGTGTTTCCAGAAGGACACGGACAAGTTACAAACCATCACCTCTACTGACTTTCTTATTTGGAGAAGTGTTGGATTGCAGTCACTCACCCTGTTTTCTATACCTCAGCTCTTCCAATCCTCAGACAAAAGAGTCAATTAAACAAACGCAGTTTTGCTTTCTCTAGAATTTGCCTTCTTTTTCCATAACCCTTCTCCTATCTCTTATGGATTTGTCATGAAAATAAGTGTAAATTGGTCACATTTAAGTCCCGCCAGGCGTGATGTTACTTGGGGGTCTGTTCCCTTCAGGTGGACTCAGGCTAGAAAGAAGAATGTCCTGTCGTAATAACCAAACCGGCTTTTGCAGTTCATACCTTCACAGAATTTCTTCTCGTAGGGAATTCCATCTTTTGGATCAACACCCTTTCAGAGAGAAGCGACAGGATTAGCAGTTTGTTTTTAAATTGATGAGACGCACACATAAATCCTCCCCAAATGGCTTTAAAAGCACGAAGGCAAATCAGTAGATAAAATCCTTTAAAGTCTCTCGAGTCCTTAATCCAACACAGCAGCGCTCCGTGGACGCGAGCTGGGCTTTCAGGAACTGGAGGCAGGAATAAGGGGCGATCCAGAAACGTCGGGCTGTCGTCTTCCTCGGGTGTGACAGACCCACGTCGGAACGGGGTTTCGGGGGCGGGGGAGTGTTAATCGAGTTGCTCACCCAGATGCCGTTGCAGTTGGAATCCTGATGGACGTCCCAGTTGTCTGGTCTAAGAGGAAAACGTCAGCGTTAGTCTCCGGCATTCACTTGTCACTTAGCGCCTGTTAGCTTCGTGAACAAACGCACCCATGAGTGGTACCCAAAGTGTCACTGATAGACAACAGGTTATTATTATTTTTTTAAAATCCTCATCCGAGGACATTTTTGTTCAGATAGAGTGGGAGGGAGGGAGAGAGAGAGAAACATTGATGTGAAAGGGACACATCAAGTGGCTGCCTCCCGCACAACCCAACCAGGGTCGGGGACAAACTGCAACAGAGGTACATGCCCTCAGCGGGAACCGAACCCGGGTCTCTCTAGACCGCAGGCCGACGGTCCAACCGCTGAGCCAAACCGGCCAGGGTGACAACAGGTTATGGAAGGCGAGAGCCACACACTGTGCGCTGTAATGGACAGACGTCTCTGCTCGGCCCCTTGCCACGACGTTGGTTTGGGACGTTTGTTGGGACGGTGGGCCAGGTCCAGTCTTTTCGTGATGGACTCTATTCCTGAACCGCGTTGTGGTGGGACAGTGTTAATGCGCATCCTCAACGAGCCTGCAGCCCCTTATATTTAGACAGGTGACGCCATTAAAATGTGTCTCCAATCCGAGCATCTGGTTAACTCGGTGCTTTGGCGCGATGGCCACAGCAAAGGGGACATATCCATTTTTGGAAGTAAGAGAGGTGATTGTCCGAACATCAGCCAGGACTCGAATGTCACATGTTGGTCACTCACTGGAGCCCCCTCCTCGGTCCTGGTGGGAGAGGCGGCTGTTTCTGGGCCCGGCCCCATGCGGCGGTGTCTGGGTAAAACCCACAGTAATGTGGATAGGGCTGTTTCTCCCTCGAGACCCGAAGCTCCACGAGAGGAGGCCTATTTCTATCTTGTTTGCCACCTGGGGTGGCGCAGGGGGCTTGGCAATTAGCAGGTGCTCACTGAGCCTTTCTTGCACAAATGATGTTCTGGCTTTCACTGAGCTTGACTTCATCCCGGATAGGGGGCCCTTCTGTCTGTTGGACACACCCGCTTGGCTGGGGAAGGGAATGATGCTGCCTGCCTCCCTTTCAGAAGATAATTTTCAGGATCAGTGAGCAGCGGAGACAGTTACCTTCTGCCCGGGTATGCCATCTTGTTGCTGTCATTGCAGTCTCTCCCTCGCCAGTGGTAGCCGCGCAGTGTCTGCAACCAAGGGCACACGGGAGGGTCAGCTGTGCCTTCACGCGAAGCGATGAGGGGCATAAATTAAGATTAGTGTGACCAAACATGCTGTGTGAGGCGAAATGTAGCATGGGACCAGGGCCAATAGCAGGTGGTGTGTGTATGTGTGTGTATGTGTATACATGCTATTGGGGGTGTGGAGGTACATATGTGTGAATGTGTATTTATGTGGGCAAGTGAGCACACACGTGTATGCGTGGTGTATATATGTGTGCATGTACACGTGTGTCTGCCTGCATGTGTGTTTGTGTGTGTCTATGTGCACTTCCACCAACTGTGGGACCACCCAACTCCCTGAACATTCTTTATTTTTTATTTTTTGTTCAGGTAGAGTGGGAGGGAGAGAGAGGAAGAGAGAGAGAGAGAAACATTGATGTGAAAGGGACACATCGAGTGGCTGCCACCCGCACGACCAACCAGGGCCGGGGACCAACTGCAACCGAGGTACCTGCCCTTAGCAGGAACCGAACCTGGGTCCTCAGGACCACAGGTCAACGCTCTAACTGCTGAGCCAAACCGGCCAGGGCTGAACGTTCTCTATTAATCACTAGTCTTGTAAGGTTCTAATCAATTGGTTTATTGGGTCAAATAATAATTTTACTGGATAATTTAAAAATCTCTAGGCAATCTAGTTAATCACATGGATTTATTATATGGTGGGGCTGCCTGACTTGAAAGGCTCAGTAACTACGGTCGTCATGAATCATTCACTCTGGGCACTTTGTGACATGTTACTTGCTTGTTTCTTTTGCAAAGAACATCCTGACATCCTAATTGCTGCAAAACAAATGGGCACACTTGCATAATCCCACACACACACTTTAAAAAAGTAAGTTGAAGGAGGTTTAAGAGTTTCCAAAATAATTCCCAGCACCTTTGGAATTCATTGCAATCCCCATGGAGACGTAGAACTGGCTCCAGGAAACAAAACCCGGGCCTAAGACCCCCTTCGATAATCTTTGTTTTATTAAGATGCCAAAAACTCCGTAAAAATGGCAAAACGGCGTCTTATCGAATTAATAATACGTTCAAGCGGAGTTCACTCTCGCCCTCTTAAAGGGGTGTGTCGTCAGCGACCATCTGGTTACTTTTTACCATACTTACGGGGGAAACACTGTATTTGTCTGAGTCGACATCTCTGAATGGCACAGAATTCTTTAAAGTTCTGGAGGAAGAAAAACAGAACACCTGGTGAGCTAAGAAAGAAGGAAGCTGTTTGTGGAAGCAAACAGACATTTTCAGGCTGCGTGGCGTTCCCGTGACAGAAGCCCGTTCTAATAATAGAGTACACAGAGCACGGGGAAACGTGGCAGTGTCTGCTGCCCACCGGCAGAACTGTTTCCTCTGAACTTCACTCGCCCGGGGGGAGTCAGATAACTGCCCCGGAGCTTGGGGGGCGTGGGTGTGGACGCCGAGGTCCTGGGAAGGAGGCTGTGGTTTTGGTCCCATCAGCGTGCGTGGCGCACACAGGTCGAACGTGTCCGTCCCACACGCAGTTCTGGGATGGAGTCTGTCTTGCAACTTTGCTCTTCAACCACTTAGGCGGAGACTCTTGAGGCTTAGGATACGATGGTCTGTATGCATTCATGGGCAACAAGACACCTGCGGGTTGATGCGTGCAGGTTGCTAAGAGGGGCCCCCCTGATTTACCGCTGTTACGATACAAGACAGAGTACAGGCTCCGCCAATGCTGATCAGAACGCAACGACGGAAAACTTGATCGCCCCGTGGTGGCAGCCTGGTATCCTACGCAGGTTTTCTTTTCCTAGTAAAGTAGTGCTTTGTCTCTTTTTATCCCTCGTTTCTTCCCAGAGTCCCTAAGTGCTAAGCGCCATGGAGGCCACCAGGGCTGAAATGCTCACTGGGAAAGGGTCTCTCCGCGCTCCAAACGCGGGCGGTGGGTGAGGAGGCCGCTGGGGCAGGCTGGCCGAGTGACCCAGCTAGGCTGGCAGCTGGAACACTGCCCACAGGGGGACCCCGCCAGTGTGGTGTGAAGGCCTTGGGGCAGGGGGAGGCACAGAGCAGGGCAGGCATGCTGCGGGAGGGGTTTGCTGGAGGGTTATGCAACAGACACCTAGGCCCCTCGATGCCACCTGCTGGCTGTGCCAGTGGGTCGGGCATTTCCGGAACCCGGGGCTGGTCTGCAGTCGAGGGGCTAGAGTCGAGGGACGTGCAGGTCTCCGAGCCTGGCCTTTGGCACCAAGCTGCTGGATTCAGACCTCAGAGTTCTCCATGACTAGCTCTGTGACTTAGGTCTCCAGGAGAGGGGACAAGCACGGTGTCTGCCCTACAGGGTTGTCTCGACAAGAGTTCCCGGTGCACGGACAGTGGCGGTAACGTTCAGCTGTAGCCTCATCACCACGGAGCCGCAGGTTGCTCTGAAGGATGACCGAGGCTGCCTTTGAATGTGCTTCGTAAACCACGGAGCACGGGGTGGACGGGACACGGTGCAGATTCTGCTCGAGACGCAACGAGTTCTGGAGAGAGGAAAACACACCGCTTCTGCTCTCAGCCACGGAGGATTTCCCGGTTCAGTTCGGCCGGGAAGAGCCCCGCCACGGACCCTCAGTTTTCCGAAGGTGGTTCAAATGAAGAGTTGTCGCTTTGGGTCCTGTGGATCCATATTTGATGTAGCAAATGCAATGATGCTTTCAGAAGGAGGGGGCAGAGTCCCCCTTCAACAAGAGCTGGGGGCCCGGGGAGCAGGCTGCGTCTCGGCCTCCCGGCACCTTCTTTGTGTCTGACCTTCCCCTCCAGTCCCCGCGTCCTGATGGTCTCTCCATCCACTCCTGTTCATGAAGAGGGGGTGCTGGCACTGCTTTGGGGACCCGGGCTAGCACGTCTCACAGCTGGCTTGCAGGAGCTCCTGTGGTCTGGAACCCGAACAGAACTGAGCTCTGGGAGGACAGACCGCCTGGAGCCTGGGCAAACCCAGCACGCTCCCGCTACATCTCAGGCGGGCGTCTGCGTTTAATTCATCCCACGTGATTCTGAGGGGCAGCCATAACTCAGCATACACCTTAAATGTAGGTGTGGGGAAACCGAGGCTCAGACACATTTAAGTGGCTCATTTTCAGAGCCGGCTCAGGAGACAGCATTGCCTAGGAGCCAAGAACGTGGATGTCCCACGTCCCCAGAGAACACATGGGGTGCAGCACAGCTGGGTGGTTTCTGGGGTCCTCAGTGGCTGAGAGACAGGACTTCAGCAGCAGCCTGTGTCCCAGCCTTGGGTATGAGTCAGGTCCTGAGGTGCAAAGATACGGATATTGAGTCTATGTCTAAAATCCTTTGTTCAGAGCTCAGGGTCTCCTGTGCAAGGGCCGAGCAAGCCACTGTCACTGCCAGGAAGATGCCTGTTGCACCTGAAGATGGTTTAGGCTGCAGCGAACGGGGCAGCCCAAGATGCGACCCCACGCAGCGGTCAGAAGGGTAGAAAGAGCATACGTACGATTTGATCTTCTCACAGATCTTGGCCAGAAATGGGAGGGAACAAATATCAGAACCGCTTCTGGAATATTTCTGGAGAGAAAAGGAAGAATAAAGAGAGTTGTTTAGTCCAAGGAAAGGCTCCCCAACTTCTAGAGGCCCTTCTAGTGGCTCCACAGTCGGGGTTTCCGAATTCTCCTTTCTCCAGAATGCAGGCCATTTTACTGCAGGGACCTTGCCTCCTGTTCCTGTCCCCGCACTTCCTGCTTGTCCTGCTCTGAGCCTGTGCTCAGCCTGGCTCGTTCCTCAGCCCGAAAGCCGAATAAAAGACCTCCACCCTGTGGGGGGGTAAGTCAAGGCTAACGGGAGAGACAGGCCGGGCTTGCGAGGGAGGAAGAGGGAAGGCCCTCCCTGGGGTGGGCAGAAGACAGTGCTGAAGAAGCGCCCGGAGCACGAGCAAAGGGACTGTGGTTTCCTCCCAGACCTCCCGATGAGCTGCGCTTTTGGAAAGAGCCTGGTTTCCATGCTGCTTTCCTCGGATGAAAGAGGCCGACAGGGTGGGGAGACTTGGGAATCACCATTTATCAGTGAAGGGAGAGGCACAGTCGATTCCTGCCAGCCCGGAGGGTCCTGCGGATGGCTAGGAGCTGTATTAACAGAGTTGGTGGCTGTGGCAAAGAACAGGCAACCTTTTCAGGCTACAAATGCCGTCTTTAGGACTGTTGTGATGTTTGCCCAACTCTCTAGGGTTAGAGCCACAGCCCTGACTAGTGTCCCCGTCTCTGCAAGACGTGGGGATGGAGAAGTCTGTGCTTGTCTTCACGGAGATCCCTGCCCTGGAGAGCACAGGGGGCCGTCCCAGCTCAGCTCGCCTGTGAGGTCTGCAGCGGTCCCGCGTTCACCCGGGCAGAAGGCGAGGGAGGCACAGCCGTGTGCGCTTGGCTTGGCGACGCCAAGTGCAATCTGCCGACTCACTACAAATGGCAGCTCGTGGCTCCCACCCCCACCCACCGACTCAGAGAGCCTGGGTGGGTCTCAGTAACCCTTGTTTCCATGGGCTCCAGGCCCTGTGATGCCCCCTAAGGTGTGAGAACCACTGGGCCAGGTCCTCGCCGCTGAGCGTGTGATCGCAAACTCGCAGCACTGATGCCGCCTGGGAGCTTCTACAGATGCAGAATCTCAGGCCCACGGCAGACCGGCTGAGTCACAACCTGCCTTCCGAACAGGTCCCAGGGTGTTGGAGCAGCATGGCGGTGGGCTGAGGGGTGCCCCACGCCCCACACAGTGCTGTGGGAGTCTGGGGTCTTGGAGGACTGCCAAGCGCTTCAACCTGGCTGGAGACTGGCGAACTGTGGACGGAAGGAGACGTTGCGACAAGCCTAGATCCTCGCTGTGTGTTATCCCGAGGGCAGCGTGCATCCGTGAAGGTGCTCAGCAGAGAGCACATATGTGCTCCAGGAAGATACCCCGGGGCTGAGAGGGTACCTGGAGGAGGCGACCTGGGCACAGAGACCTGTGGGCAGATGGAGACTCAGGCCTGAGCCCAGGGTTTCTGACCATTGCCATTCGGGGCTGACTAACTTTGTTTTCCTTCCTTCCTTCCTCCCTTCCTTCCTTCCTTCCTTCCTTCCTTCCTTCCTTCCTTCCTTCCTTCCTTCCTTCCTTCCTTCCTTCCTGTATTTATGTATTTTTACCCTCCTCCCATCCTGAACCCCCCCACCCCCTGTATTGTTGTCTGTGTCCATTGGCTATGCATACATGCATATAAGTTTTTTGGTTCATCTCATCCACCCCCCTTGCCCCCCTACCTTGGGGTTTGTCAGTCTGAACCGTACTCCTTTCTATGTCTCTGGGTCTATTTCATTCATCAGCCCGCCTTGTTCATTATATTCCATAAATAAGTGAGATCATGTGGTATTTCTCTTTCTCTGCTTGGCTTGTTTTGCTTAGCATAATACTCTCGAGGTCCTTCCATGCCATCTCAAAGGATCAGAGATCTTTCTTTCTTACAGCTGCATAGTACTCCATTGTGTACATGTACCACAGCTTTTTTACCCATTCGTCTACTGATGGACACTTGGGCAGTTTCCAGATCTTAGCTATTGTAAACAGTGCTGCTATGAACATGGGGGTACATATAGGGGCTGAATAACTCTTAGTTGTGGGGCTGTCCTGTGCATTGTAGGATGTTTAGCAGCATGTCTGGTGTCCAGCCACTAGATGCCAGGAGCCCAAAAATGTCCCCAGACCTTCCCAAATGTCCGCAGGGGAGGACAAAACTGCCAGTGGTGGGGAACCACTGATGGAAGGCAGGAGAGAAGGGGGGGACCTGGCACCCGAGCGAGGTCAGGGTGGTAGACACACAGCAAGGCGAGTGAAGAGCAGCAGGGAACATGCCGCCGTGTCACTGGTGGAGATGCAGACACCTTCTGAGGCCCAGAGTTCACAGTCAGGTTGCACTGAGATGTTCCAGCTACTTCTTTACTCTGGTCTGAAGGCCTGGTCTAACTAACCCAGCGGCAATGCAGATTTTAACACCGATGACAATCGATACATCGCATGATGTACTTGGACAGCCTTGTAGTGGCCACACAAGAAGTACGACAGAATCAAATGTTATCACTGCACCGCTGTTCCCTGTCAAGACCTAGTCGAAAGGCTGCGGTTGTCTTTGACATGCATGGCGCAGACATTGGGGCTAGGATGTGAGGGACGGGTGGTTTAGCTTGTCCAGAGGCCCCCCAGAACTGTAGGTCAGCCCGAGCTCTGATTATCCAGTCTTTTCAGCACGTAGTATGGGGAAGACTAGCCTCTCCTCATTTCCTTGAAAAAGAACTGAAACAGACACAGACGTGGCAGAGGTTCTCTGCATGCCTGCCAGCCTCTTCCTTTCGATTTGAACTTCGCCAGACAGAGGCAAAATGTGGGCTGTTATGAGCTCAGCTGTGGATTTAAAATACTGCCTCTGGCTGCACGTCATCCCTAAAATGACAGTCCCAAGCCTGGGCTGTCCCTGAGCGCGGGAGCCTGGCAGCATCTTCATTTTGCAATCGATTTCACCAGCGTCGGCACACACCTGAGCTTCTCCCACACCGGGCTGCTGGATCGACACGGAGCGACAACCAGGGGTGGACGGGCGGTGCACGGGATACACAGGAGGCAAAGGGGGCGTGTACCACCCCCTGCACACAGCCCACCTGGCCCGGAGTTCCTGCATGGCCCAGTGCCTTCCAGCTCTCGTTGTGTATTGTTTTACTTGGATCTAATTGGTCAGGGTGGAGTTTGAAGAGCAGCACTTTTTAAAGGCGTCCTGGAAGAGGCCATTGAGTAGGTAGGGTTAAGATCAGGGGCGTCGCGTACAGCGTCCAGGCTGTGCATGATCCTAACATCGAGCACCGAGGAGGTCTGGTCGAGAGCCTTCGACATAGTGGACAGGGTGGGAACTTGGAAGTAGCTAAGTCTGGATTTAAATGATGGGGTTCTCACTCCCTGGTTATGTGGAGTGAGCTAGGTGCTTCACCTGCCTGACCCTTAGTCCTCTCATCTGCAAAATGGGGTTGATCATGAAGGCACGCTGTCTACTTTGTAGGAGTTTTTTGTGAGCGTGAAATAAAGTGATTCCATCACTCAGACACTCTAAGCCCTTGCACGCTCAGGGTTCTGCCCAACCCGTGCACAGTGCCCCCGAGGAAACTCAGACCTTCCCGGAACGTGTGAGCCCCTTCAACAGCACAGACCCCTCCCCAGCCTGGTTCTCGCAGTCTGACAGGCTGCGTGTTTCTGTTTCCCTCCGGCCGGGGCTGCGGGTCCATCAGCCGCCACCAATATCCTCTGAGCAGTTTTTCCAAAACGCTTATTTGCATTTTATGATTAGTTTTTTCCTTGAGAGCTTTAATCTGGAGAATAGATAAATTGGAGGAGGTTTTGGAGAAGTTTATTATTGTTGAATTGTTCGGGTGGATTTTTTTGGCCGCATGCAAGGAACTATTGGAATCCTGCTCCGTGAAGTACGCTCGCAATCCTGGTGAGGGAAATCGAAAACTGTAAAATCCTAATTAGCCCTTGAGTTAATGCCAAGGCAGTTTGTGCTGGTGAAGAAATCAACGCCCGGAGAATAAGTTTTTAGATGCGTACTGAGAAGACGAAAGGAAGAGTTGTATCATTCTTCAGTTCTGTTTAGAATTCCGAAGTCACGGTCAAGGGTCTCAAGTGGTGTTTCAATTTCTTGTTCAATGACTTAAGCAGATGAGCTAAACTAGCTCCAATTGGACTTTCATGATCCACTGAATTAAATAATGAGGAGCAATGCGGACATGGTGATTGATTAATAGATGGTGTAGAAATGCCTGCATAGTGCCAAGAGACACGTATCCACCTTGCACATCAAATCCCAAGTGCCCTCCGTGAACGGCGCTACCAGATGAGATGCTGCACTGGACACACTTACACTACGACACGATTCATCGTTTATCTGAAACTCAAATTTAACTGGGCATCCGCTATTGTTATCTGCTAAACCCGGCAAGCTGAGCATGGAGGAATTTTCTCCTCTTCATTTCCATGTGACCAACTCAATACTCCCTTCATGGTAGTGCGTCAGCGCGTGTGTGACGAGCTGGCCAGGTGGGAGGAGCCAAGGACAGGGGCCCTGCCCTCTCGTCTCCCTGATGACCCCTGTCCTGCCAGGGCCCAAGCATGAGGGAGACCCCTCTCTCAACAACCTACTCTCTCGCCTCCTTTTCAGTTGGGGCTGATTTGTAACCAGAGTATAAGTCAAACGCTTGACTCCACGATTTGAACTAAACATTCTATCTGTTGCATCAAAGCATTATCCCAAAGAGGACAAATCAGGGAGAGGAATAATCATGTGAGGATTTTACTGGCATTTACAGGTGGTGGATGAGTCCCAGGCACGATAGCAGGGGCTCCACACACACCGACTCTGTTAGTCCTCACATCCATGCTTCCAGACGGGAACACGGTCACTGCCCCATCTTCCTGATGGGGAAACTGAGGCTCAGTCTGAGGCCTCATACTGAGAAAGTGGAGGAGCAAGAGGATACACAGCCTCTTCCGATATGGTCTCAGCAGTGCTCAGAGGGCACTTGGGGGTGTCAGGAGACCTTTCTGATTGTCACGACTGAGCAAGGGTGGACAGCAGTGCTGCTATCTAGTGGGTGGAGGGCTGGGGACCTGCTAAACATACTGCCGTGCAGACAGAAGACGGAGGGAAGAGGAGAGAGGAGACAGAGCTCATATTCCCACTTCAATCCCACGTCAGCTATGGTGCCTTGTGGGCCTATGTCCGGGGTAGCCCCTGGCTCTTGGCACGTGAAGGCAGGGGCCAGGGAGGGGTGACTGTGCCCAGGAAAGGGCTGGTATTCTACCCGCTGACCACTTACCAGAGTTGGGGATTTCTTGACAATCTGTCTTGCCTTCTCCAGGGTAGATTTCCAGGTCTCCTGTAACAACAAAGTTAGACCACGTCATCACTTACGGCTTCTCTAACGTTAGGATTTATCAAGTCTGTGAGTTTGAAACAAAGACGTGAGTCCGTAAATCTGTGCTAAAATAATTGACAAGGAGGCGTTTCCCGTTGGTCCGGTCTTTACAAAGGGGCTCACTCTGCGCCAGATGCCGCGCTAAGGACGTTGCGCACGTTGCCGGGTTGAACCTTGACTACAGCCCTTTTTACAGACGAGGAAATGGAGACGCGGAAAAGCCATGAAGCTGGCTGACGGTCACGGAGCTGGTGTCTGGCAGAGACTCCGCCTGAACCCCTGCCTTCCTGCCCCGGGGCTGCACTGGTCTCCCCAAGGACCAGCTAGTGCTTGTGTCTGAAAGTCCCAGGGTGGGAGGCGGACCCAGCCGACCCGAGCACCTGTGCCCAACACTGACTTCGTACAAAGTACCTCCCGTCCCGCCTTCCCGCTCCCTGCTCCTGGTCACACGACCCCCCTGGCAGCCATTCCTGGAGCATCTGAGAACATGCTGGGTTCACACGGCGGGCATCGGGTCAGCGAATCAATCCAGTACCTGTTGTGGAAGTCCACATCTCTGTATTTGTCGGAGGCTGGGGAGACAGTAACCCCGTGGGGGTGGGGGATGGAGAGTATTTGCCGCCCACGCTGCTTCCCAGAGCTTCTGTGCGCCCAGATGTCCTGGCTCCGCCACATCCCTCCTCGGTTTGCCCTGTGTGGCCCTCGTGGAGCCTGGGCGATGGGTCCGAGCCCAGCTTGGCTGCTCACAAGCGGTGCGACTCTGAGCAAGTTCTGCTCTGAAGTCTGTCCACAGAATTCCCGGATATGAAAGAAGGCCCTATTTTTGCATGTAAATTGGGGGTTACCGCGACCTATCACATAAGGGTGCTACGGGTTACAGGCCATCATTCCTAAAGAGCCAGGGCCTGCCCTGATGAGCCCCTGCTCAATAACTTGACACTTTAAAATTTCTTTTTCTTTTTATCCTCACCCAAGGACACGTTTGCCTTTATCTTCAGATAGAGTGGGAGGGAGAGAGGGAGGGAAAGAGAGAGAGAAACATCGATGTGAGAGAGACACATCGACTGGCTGCCACCCACACAACCCCAACTGGGGCTGGTGACAAACTGCAACCGAGGTACGTGCCCTCAGCGAGAACCGAACCTGGGACTCTCTGGCCCGTGGGCCGACGCTCTAACTGCTGAGCCAAACCGGCCAGGGCTAAAATTTCTTTTTCAATTACAGTTTATGTTGAATATCATTTTGTATTGGTTTCAGGTGCACAGCCCAGTGGGTAGACAATCATGTACACTACAAAGTGCTCCCCGATGTTTCCGGTCCCCAGCTGGCGCCATGCATACTTATTACAGAGTCATTGACGCCATTCCCTGTGCGGTACTTTACAGCCCCGTGACTATTTTGCAACCACCAACCTGTACTTCTCAATGGCTGGACAATTTCCGTGGTCCAGGCCGTTTTCCCTTCACCCAAATCCGCAGGGAAGCTGGGATTCGGGGACAGTGGCACAGTTCTGACAGAGGTAACCGAGACGCTGTCCCTGCATTAAAGCAGGAAGAAGGGTAGTGAATGGGACTTGGTCAGCAGGGAGGCCCCTTGGGAGATGCTGGCCACCGCCGACGGTGTTCAGGACCTGAGTCTGTACCCGGCGCCGGGTGTGTTCTGTGCCTGGGAGACCCTTCCTCCCCCGGGGCCTGTGCTCGGGAGACCTCCGCCACGCCGTGTGGACAAGGCTGGAGCAGGGACGGCTCAGGGTGAGCCTGGGCCAGAGCACATTTTCCAGGAGGCGCTTTAGGAAGGAGGGTGGCAGGGCCAGTGACGGCCGCCTCTGAAACCCCCTTCCTGGCGCCTGCGCAGTTCACACAGCCGTGGCCAAGTCCAGGGGATGGCACACCAGGGCTCCTGTGTCCTAGGCGGCAGGCCCGCTGACATCTACTCATGCACGGTGGCTCTTGAGAAAGGAAGCCGCTCTCCAGGTGGCCCTGGTCGCCAGGATCCCTTGTATAGTGAACGTTTCTTAAAACATTGAAACACTGTGCCAGTCGGTAAACAGTTGTGTCCTGAGGCCTGAGTGTCCCCTTCACAGCCTGGCCACCCAGCCCCTCCCTAGGACTGCCCAGACCTCTTCATGATCCTTCAACAAAGGGGCCAAGGTCATGGTGCAGCCTGTGGGCCCCTCCAGACCGCGGTCCCACGCGGCGCCCAGCACGCTTCCTGAGGACTAACAGCGGGGCCAGACCAGCCTTTACCGTCCTCACCTTGAAACAGGCATTTTAAGCAGAAAGACCGCTTGCGGAGCAGCACGCGGAAACACGGACCTTGTTGGATGCAATGTTGGCTTTTCCCAGACATTCCAACATATCCCGGAATTTCCCCTCTTGTACAGAGTCAGCACCTCAAGCAGGTGACAGTAGGGCGTTAGGTTCAGGTGCGAATTTCTGCCATGGGGCCCTTGTTATCCTAAAGCTCATCCTTCACAGCATTGAAACCCGAAGACAAGCCCCTGCTTCTCTGTTGCTTTCTACGGCTCAGCTCCAGACAGACAGGCAGAGTAGGTGCTCAATAGATGGGAAAATGGGAAGTGAGGGGAAACATTTATGGTTTGTATCAAGCATCATATATTATGGTTTTAAGTCAGCTCAGTTCTCCGGAGGGATCAATGTTCAGTGAGGGATATTGCAGAGCGATTGGTATCATCAATACAATTGGTCACACTATCCCTACCTTTTTTCCAGGCAACACCTTTTAAAAAGTTGCCTTATTTTATATATTATTACTATTTTTTGTTAATCCTCACCCAAGGATATTTTTCCATTGATTTTTAGGTAGAGTAGAAGAAAGGGAGGGAGAGAGACACACACATCTATTGGTTGCCTCCTGCACAACCCCAGTTGGGGCTGAGGATCAAACCTGCAACCCTTCGGTCCATGGGCTGACACTCACCATTGAGCCAAACCGGCCAGGGCAAAAACTGCCTTATTTGAAACAGCACTATTCCCAGCCTCCTCCTTTTTCTGACATCACCATTCACTGATTGTACTACCGTCACCACCACCACCATCACTACAGACCTCTTCACAGTCTTTCTGAAATTCTTCTGCTTTTGGTTCTGGACCGGCCATTGCCTATACTTTATATGTACCGACTTGGAGAGGTAGGAATAGCAGTTCTCAACCCCACTTTACAGGAGAGATCCAAGACCCAGTGCTGGGGAGGGGCATGTTCAAGGTTTCACAACCCACAGTTTTGTTTCATTTTGACTTTCCTCCCTAGTGTGTGGACACACCCATTCTCCAGTGCTGGGCTCTATGGGTTATTTTCTTTATAAGATATGGTCCTATTCTTCAAAACACACGATCTCTGGCAGATGATTAGGTTAGGCAGATGATGGGTGGGTTCAGTCACTGGGTTGTCTTAGGTCAATTGTCTTGTAACATAGTATTCTAATTTTTTAATAGTGTTCCATTTGCGTTCAGGTTGCTAGGACAGTCCTGCATAATGTTTCTCAAAGAATCAATTTGTATCAGTTTTATATTGTTGCTGAAACAAATTACCAAAAATGTAGTGGGCTAAACCAACAGGAATTTATTCTACAGTTCTGTAGGTCAGAAGTCTTCAATGAGTCTTAAGAGGCTAAAATCAGGCGTCAGCAGGTCCCTTTTGCCAGGGAAGGGAAGGGCTAGAATGTGGGGGTTAGAATGCGGACCTCTTTGAGGGGGCATTGTTCTCTACGCCACACTGTTCATGCAACAGACTTTTATTGAGCAATTAGTAAGCGTGTTGAACTGTGCTGGGCTCTGGGGAAATCTCAGGGAACAGCATATGTTCGAGGAATAAAACAGCCAGATTAACTGTTCTCCTGGTGTTTACATCTTAACATATGAAATAATAATTTTATAAATTAAAATTTAATTTACATTGCAATTTACAATTACAATTTAAAATTGCAATTTTGTGCAGTTGTTTAATGACAATTGTAATGAGTTGTGGAAGGATGGGGTGGGATGCTAGAGGACTTGGCTTCGTCTCTGGCATCGGGACAAATGTCTTAGAAGAAATGCCTCCTTGATGTGGTGATTAATGAGGTGAAGAGGAGGACCAAGAGGGGATGCTGGGAGACCAGTGATGAAAACTTAAAAATTCAGAGTATCTTTTAGAACTGTTAGAATCACTATGGCCATTAGCTTTACTTGAGCTAAGGGCAGAAAGAAGAATATTTTTAAGAGAGAGATAGTTATCTTTTAAAAAAATTTTTTTTTTCTTTATTGATGTTTTAGAGAGAGAGGAAGGAAGAGGGAGAGAGAGATAGAAACATCAATGAGAGAGAACATTGATTGGCCGCCTCCTGCACATCCCCCAATGGGCATCGGGCCCACAGCCGGGGCAGGTGCCCTGACCGGGAATCAAACCGGCAACCTCTTGGTGCAGGGTTGATGCTCAACCACTGAGCCACACCGGCAGGGCTCTTTTTATATTTTTTAACTTCTTGAAAGCAGGCAAGAAACATGGTCAAATCCCAAATGCCATTCAAATATCTTCTTTGGAATAATTTGATTTCTTCTACTTATCAGAATTCAAGTATAACTTAACATTCACACTACTATTGCTTTCTTTTGAAGAGTTTTGAGATCTCTCTGAGTTTAATGACCTCCAAAGAAGTTTTTAAACAAGTCTAAGTAGATAAATTCTCCAAGGTTCCAAATATGGGTTTAAACCAAAATACAGCTTGGATTCTCCATCCAGATCCTTTGAAATGCTCAGAGAGAAAACTGAACTGTAGGCTGTACATCCAAGCTCAGTGTTTAATGTCTTCTCAGTTCTATTCAGGTCTTTGGGGAGCAATTTCATTTAGTGGTCTCTGATATGGAAGGCCTTTCTCTTCTGTGATCATTTCTCATCTAATGACCTTCAAAGAGTTCTGTGGAAGCAACATGCATGAGAGGTAGATGGATTCTCATTTAATT